AAAGGGAGGTGACTATGGCAGTGTTTATCTTGCTTTTGATGTTGCTCTTTTCCTCCCAGACTTGTCTGTCCGTTGCTGACCCTTTTCCATGGGTCCCTCCCAGAAGGTGCATTAGGTCTTGCTTGTGCCAATCCCTTGTGGGTGGACTTTTACCCACAAATGGTTGGGTAAGTCTGGGTGTCTGATTTATTCTTTGTCTTTTCTCTACTGCACACTGGTTATATTAAAGTTCCCTTCCATTACGGTCTTGTATAGTTTTTCTTGATATGGTGGATACAGAGCGGGCAGGTTTGGGGGTTTGGGGTGCCCCCTCCCTGCTCTGTAACAATCTATTTTTTCCTGATTATATAGGATGAAGTCTACCATGTAAGAGTGGAATAATGGACATGGCAGCGTGAAGAAGAGTTTTAAACCGAGCAACGGATGGCGTTCACTGCATAAAAACCCAAGTAAACCCCAGTGGGGAGAAAGTTGGAGTCTCCAGTTTTGTCATAGACCAGCTGGTGCAGTGGGAAAGGATTCAAAGAAAAACACGAGGGAAATAAACTTTAACTCCTGGAAAAGTATGGTACATAGACTAGGTCTGTCTAAATGCCCAGTCTCAGGATAAATACTAGTTTCTATATTCTCCAAAGTACTAGCTTCCACTATATATATCTAATACTCTTTCTGTTTTGAAATTGATCGGGTCCAGCTGTGGATGAGACGTAGCATGACATATATACCTGTATATACCTGGATATGAGTGTATCCCCTTTTTTGACTGGACGCCTTTGGACAAATATACAAAGAAAACACACGAATGTAGAGTTGGAAAGGACCAATGCTGCCTTCCACCGTGACATTTGCAAACTGAAATTCAGCAGGTTAAAGAGCCCAGGCAAGGTCAACAACCGAGGACAACAGCATCAGCCTGAGCAGCCCTAGGGAAGGTTTGGCAGGTGAGAGGGAGGGTGCAGAGCCGGCCTGAACAGCCCTCTGCAGAACAAGTAGCCAGTGCTGTGGCCTCCTGTCCGCTCCTGCTTCTAGGCCCCCTGGTTATTAGCTGATTAACACTGGAGCTGCACAGTAAGAACTAAGAGTCTACTCGTGTGGATAGAACAATAGTGAAGTGAGACATTTTTGCACTTGAAGTCAATGAAAATGCATCTAGATTTCCCCCCTCCATATCAACTAGAATGGCAAATATACACAGAAGATGAAAGATTATTTGTTATCCCAGAGGTGCTTAACATTTCCAGGTGTTCTTACTACGTGGGAGGAAAAGCTGTGTCCAGGTCTGCACTGACATCTGGAAAAGATGTTAACTAAACACCTTCTATTCCACAACCCTGGCCCAGATGAAAAGTTCTTTTTCTTGGAAATTTAAGCTTATTTTTATTGCTGCCTGGGAATATTTAGTCTTCCTAAAAGCTTTGGTGTAATTCTGGCTATTTGAAAACCTGGCAGATTCTTTTTTAGTTGAAAATATTATACAAGTGGGTTTTAGTTTAAAAGTGAGACTTTTTTCTACTTCAAACTTGACTATAAGTGATTGAACAATTAGTGTATTAATGTGCCATTGATGGAGAATTGAGTGAAGACCGCTGATTATCTGAAATCAAGATTAGCTTTCTTCAGGTTTTTCATGGCAAATATAATTTTCTTCCTGATTTTTATATTTTAGTTGCTTAAGTTCATCCCCTGACAGTATGCCAGTTTTTAAAAATACTCTCTTTTAGCTCAAATGGTTGAATTTAATCAAGGTGTATCAGATATTAAAAAGTCATTCACTCTATCTATAGCAACTCTGCAAACCACTGCAGTTATAACAGAGCACAGAAGAAGCCAGGCTCCTGGTCTCGTGGGATTTGATTTCCAGATGAGAGTGGTAGGTTATACCCAACCAGGTAAATAGATGGAAAAATGTCATGCTAGATCCTGAACAAGGGCTGCCAAGAAAATAAAATAAAAGGGGGCTAAGAGAGGAGGGAAGGAGGGAGGGAAAGAGGAGGGACAATGAGGGAATTAATGAATGAATGGACAGACAGAGGACAGACAGACTGATAAATGAAGACTTCCGAACAACCTCATTCAGACTCAAGTCTCGTACACCTGGCTGCCTTCATTCTGGAAGTCTTCCCTGCCGTGCTGACTGGGGCACAGGATGTCCGAGTCTACCATACGCAGGAGCCTGCTCCCTGCCTACAGGCAGACCCCAGTGAGCATGCCACTGGGGCCCGTCGGCAGCCAGTTTGCCCTCCATCTTGAAGCGATACCTTGGCACTGAGCTTCTGTGATGTTGTGACATGAAGATTCAGGGACTAACTCAGATGTTTTCAGCCCCTTTGGGTGTATATGAGATGGGACATTTCACACCCCCACCCCGCCCCGTCCCAGACCCTGGGGTCGCTGTTACCTGGGTGCTATGCCAGATCTGCTTAGAAGTCGGTCCTTGAGGCCTCTGCAAACTGGAAGAAAGGAGAAAGGGGTTTCTCCAGGGTGTTAATACTTCTGCAGAAAAAGTATCAAAGTTTACTAACAGGAGAGCATTTTAAGTCATTCCTTTTGTTTTCACAGAACTGCTGTGAATCGAAGACTTTCTACTGAGTCGCCACATCAGCCACAGTATAACTATTTCAATTTGCTAGGAATATTACTTTGTGTCAGAGTAAAAAAATGAACTGAACACTCAAACACGTTCTGTCTCCTGGCGCTGGCTCTCCCCTCCCAGCTCCCAGCTGCACACAGTCCTGGACATATTCCTCACTGCACCCTGCGGTGTGAACACACCAATTGCTTCACCTCATGAAAGAGATATGCGCACATCAGGTGCGCATTGCACAGGATTCTTTTCTTTTCCCCTCACACACACACACACACACACACACACACACATACATGCACCAGGTAAGGAACACATGATCATTTATTGAAAGGTTCTTGGTTCTTGTTTTCACTGCAAATTCCTAGCCAGGGATGGAGTGGGTGCATTCCTTCTACTAGTCCCATCTCCTGAGTCACCAAGATGTCTGCAACTGGCAGGACAGACCACTCTCACTCCTCACCGGTCACACGTGGCTAGGCAGGCATGCAAGGCGGCAGTCGAACCTGAGCCAGTGAGAGCTCCAGGTCCTGTGACCCAGCCCCAGCTCTGAGATTTGCAAGTTGTCTCAAATTACCCTGTGCAAATAGATTTCTCAGGATATTGTCAATACGCACCCTGTGATTCAGTACATCTGCTTGGGGACTGAGCTTGCACAGGAAACAAGCTCCCAGGTGACCCTGCAGGACACCCTCCCACCCTGCCCCTGCACGCCAAGAATGACTGGTGTATGGACTCCCTCTGTCTCTCCTCTCTCCTCCCCCATGGGAGAAGTTCACGTGGCCCAGAGAATCTGCCAGTCCAGAGCCCGCATTGCTCCTTCTCAATCACGCTCTGTGTCCCTGGGCTCCGGAATTCAATACCCTGACCACCCCCTGCCCGACCCCCTGCCCAGAGTGCCTGCCCGGGACTGTTCCCGCTCCAGCATGAACAAGCCCCGGCTGACAAATGTCAGCAGCAACTTGCATCCCCGGCAGAGGGTGATGGGGACATAAAGGATGGTCTCTGCTCAGAGAACTTGCGCTTGCCTTCTGGCCCCAGTGGGTAAACACTGGCAGTGGCCTTGCACCTGCTGATGTAGGTGACAGGGAGAAATGCCATCCTGTTTCAGCTTTCCCTGGTTCTTGTTTGCTTCCTGATTTTCCCCTAAACTGATAGTTAACCATCCCCAGCCTGTATGGTTGTAATTTCTGAGGAAACATCCACTCCAAAGCACTCTTTGCGGAGTGAAGGGAGCATGCTTTCTTTCGTCCCTAGTGCTTTTTCTAAGAAACCCACCAAGGCAGGGGTCAGCATGGCGCGGCAGGGGTCAGCATGGCGCTGCAATCTCATCCCACTTTCAGTGTGAATTCCAGCAACTGAGCCCCTTCTCACAAGGGTCACTCCGTGCCTTCCTTCCTTGCTCTTCACAATTTGAAAAAGAATGCACCCCCCACTCCCCCACCCACACCATCCCCACCCAGTCACCTGCACTCACCCCCCACCTCTCAGCTCCCAGGCAGCCGTCTGGCGCCTGTCAGCTAATCTGAAGCGACAGGCTTCGCTTCCACTGCTCTTTCCACCCTTTGCTTTCTAATATTTGTGTGCTTGTTTTGAGTCACGTTTACCTGCTCACTGGATTCGCAAGATTCACGGTTCCCTAGCTCCCGGCTGTGTCCTCACTATCCGCCCAGAGCCTGGTCCTGAACAGAGGTTGCACCCGGTTTGCAAAATGAGTACATGAGCGTGGATGATTGTCACAGTTAGAAAGAAAAGATCTCAGAGACTGGCCCACAGTAGGCGCTTCGTAAGAGTCGCTGGCTCGGTTTCAGTGGAGTGGATGCGCTAGAGAGACTTCCCCCACATACTTGGTTCTTAGGGGTGGAGTGGGGTGAGCTGAGGACAACTGTAATGTGAACTGCCCAAGTCCAGGCAAAATGTGGCTGATAAACTACCGGTCTAAACACACCAAAGCACGACACACTTTTTAAAGGCTTCAAACCCGAAAGATTCATCATGTTAAAACAAAGGGTAAAGCGTTCAAAGCAAACTGTCAATTTGGCGGGCCCCTGTTAACTCACGCCCTCCAGCATCTTCCTGAAAAGTCCCAGCCCAGCTGCTCACAGCCTGCAGCCTGCTTTCCCCTGGGGGCGTATTTCCTGTCCCTTTCCTACCAGCCAGCCCAAATACCCCCTTGACAAACACAGCCGGGGCCCACAGGGGAAGGAAGCAAGGGTTTTCTCAAATCCGTGAACAGGGCATTTTTCTTATGTCAAAACAAACCATCTGCTTGTACAACTGTTTCTAATTACTTTCCTGCCTAGACTCCACTTGAGGGGTTTGGCACCAGGACCCCGCCCAGAGCGCTGCCGCTGCCCAAATCCTCCGCGGCTCCTCAAGTACTTACAAGTCCAGGGAACGCCTGGACCTGGCCGCCTGGGTGTCGGGGGTCCCTCTGCCCGCCCTCCGCTGGCAGCACCTCACGCCCCTGCCGCCCCAGCTCCCGAGAGCCCCGGTAGCGGCCTCAACGCCCCCGCCCCAGGGAGCTCAGCATGCAGCCCACAGGCTTCGGGAACTTCTTGCTGCTCGCATCCTCCCTTCTCCTCCCAGGACTGTCAGCTGTTCCTCAGAGCTTCTCGCCCTCTCTGAGGTGAGTCCGGGTTGTTTTTCTTGAGACCCAACGGCGGCCCTGCTCGGCGTGGCTGGGCTCAGCTTGCAGGACCGCAGCCTGAAGCCCAGGGCAGTGAGGAACTCTGGCTAATCTGTTTTCAACCTGTTTCTCTGCCTTCCTTGTGTCTGCGCTGCTGGGACTTCACCTCTGCCCCTTTGCCTCTTTCTCAGAAAAATACACCCACTGCGTAAGTGTGATTTCTTCCCTAGCAATGCCAATCAGGAGGCATGAGCCAGCGTCAGCCCTGGGTGGGCTGTGCCCTCTTCTGTAGTAATGGGGCGCAGGCTTATTTCAGGGGTCTGTGGCTTTGAGTGACCTTGAAGCAGAAGGCAGTCGCTAAACTTTCAAAGAGTGAGGTTCATCAGCATAGCGAGCGCAACGTCTCAGAGCACTCTGCCTGGCATTCCCGACAAGGCCAGTTTTCTACACAGCCACGTTTTCCTTCTTATAAAACCACCTCCCCCCCAGGCATCAGATAGCAACAGGCCTTTTCATTTTAATTTTTAAAAAGGATTTATTTACTCATTTATTCATCCAGAACTGGGGTGCAGGCCAGAGGTGCAGGGGCAGTGAGAGGCTCCACCAGAGACAGAGTGGGGAGCAGAACAGGCAGATGGATGAAGTACACTGCTGAGGAGAGCAGTGGGCAGGTCAGAAGAGGTCTGCTGCACCATGTGGGTAATTTCCCGGGGGGGGGGGGGTTCGAACTCGCACTGAAGTGGCTGAGGCCATCTTGCAGTACTGCAACCTAATTCATTGTACCACCAGGGAGGGCCCTTAATTTTTTTTTTTTTAAGCTGGATAACCTCATCTAAAAAAAAATGGATTTCAAAATCAAAAAGCCTATTACAGATAAAGAGGGTTCTATGTAATAATAGAAATATAATTTACCAGCAAGCATTCACACTTCTAAATTAGAATATCAAAAACACAGAAGAGCAAATAGTCACAGAATTACACAAAGTGAGTTTTCCATAATCTTAGAAGGCTTTGCTATGTAATCCACTGTAGCCGATCTGTTTGACGGGGTGCATGGAAAGAGCACGTTACCCCCAACACTTGGGTAATGCAGCTCCGGGAGCATGTGCAGGGTGGTTTTAAAGAGGTCAGAGGAGTCCACCAGGTATCATCTGTGGATTAGTTGCCTCTAATATTTGGGATTTATATGCAATACAAATGGATAAAATCTGTATCAGGTATTGGTGAATCTTAAGATTTAGGGTCAGGGCCGTCCCTGGTGGCCAGTGGGTTAAAGCTCAGCACTGTGAAGCTCACTGCAGCCTTGTCCCTTCAACGCCAGTTCGATCCCTGGCCCGGGGTGACCCACATGGAGCTGCAGATCTCCCCTGACCTGCCCGCTGCTCCCCTCAGCAGTGTACATGGTGGATCTGCCTCACCCCGCTCACCCCCTGCACCTCTGGCCTGTACCCCGCTCTGTATACATAAAATAAATCTTGGGAAAAAATTAGATTCAGGGTCAGCCCTGTCCGGACGGGGCTGGATCACCTCACTCCCCCGAAAGATGCCCCTATTCCCAGGTGGCAGGTCACGGCCCAGACGTTCTGCGCCATGGTCATTTTTCAGGGAGAGCCCCGCGGTGCCCTTTGGAGTAGGGGGAGGTTCTTGACTCCCAGAGAAAAGAGGGGCCCGCCACCCTGAGACTTACCACCTTGGCGGTCGTCTGCCTGCGACTGGAGCGGGCATGAGCAGGAACGCGGTGCAGAGCTGCACAGTCCGTGCTTGACCCTGGCGGGGTGCTTGTCGCCCTTGCAGGAGCGGCCCAGGCGCGGGGTGCCGGCTGTCACGCGCGGAGTCAGAGCGCCGCTGCCGGGCGCCCGGGCAGCCTCCAGGGGGCGCTCTGTGCCACGGCCGCGGCCGGTGCGACTGCGGCGTGTGCATCTGTCACGTGCCCCAGCCGGGCATGTACTTCGGGCCGCTGTGCGAGTGCCAGGAGTGGGTGTGCGAGACCTACGACGGCAGCGTGTGCGCAGGTAAGCGGGACGCGCCGCCCTCTCCCCACAACCCGGCCGCCCCCAGGGGCATGGGGGAGCCACCATTGTCTCCCTGGTGCTGTGGGCTCTAGAATCTGAAATCATATTTACAAGAAGCACTAAACCCCGCTGTCCCAGCTTGCTCCCAGCGGAACCCTTTGCCCTCCTACCCCAATCTAAGGTGCTGGTCAGAACACCTGCGTAGCCTGAGCCTGTCTTTTATTCCTGCCGGCGTCACAGGACATTTACTCTCCTACATCACACACATCACACAGGACATTTACTCTCCTACATCCCGAGGGATGTACAGGGGTTATGGGCAGGTGCACCTGTCGGGGAAGGAACAAGGAGAAACTTTCACGCTTTGTATTGTTTTAGCTGCTTGAATTTCACCGTTGCAGTGAAACTTAGTAAACGCGGAGTAAAAATAAACCCGTATAATCCGCACATTTCAAGGAGGAATCGGAATTCTGCTGTTGGAGAGGGTCTAGGTATTTTTCCCTAGGACACCGCTAACTTCACATAAACGTGCGACTTACTGAAGGCCAGGAGCCTCAGTCCGTTCGTGGTGAATGACACCACGTTAGTAAAAGGCCAGCACCATGCACCAGCCAGGCGTTGGCAAATTGGTGGGAAAGAAACCTCACAAGTTATGTTACCCACGATGTAGCAAAGAGTCAAGGGCCACACCGGGAGAGGAAGGGTGAGTTTGGGGGGAGCTTTATTCTTGGCACGGGGCCCCAGAATTGAGAATACTTGGGGTGCAGGCTGCCTGGCAGTGGGAAACCGTCCTACGTGTGATCCGAGCAGAAGGTGTGGCTCCAGGTGTTTACCGGGCCAGGCTGTGCTCAACCCTTTAAACATACCAAACCCCACTACTTGAAATTTTAACTTCATCAGGCTCCACACTGCGGAGTTCTGACGTGGCCCTTTGGAATGAAAGCTCAGTATTGTCTACTATTTCAATCCAAATTCCGCTGCTACCAACCTCTCTGGTGTATGTTGCTTCTGGCAAGACTCTTCCCTATCATGAGTTCTCAGCACATTTTTTTCCCCAGGGCATTTTGAATTGTTCTTTTATCTGAAAGTAAGATGTGAGCTGCAGCCTTGAACCAATGAAACTAGTGGGGCGCAGCCGCCCCTCCTGGAGGGCGCTTAAAGGCAGCCAGCGCTCTGGCCCTCTCCCATGCTAGCGATGTTGTTCAGACACCTAGTGGTCACCAAATTCCTTCCTCCCTGACTCACATCGGGCATCGAGTCAGCCATGGTTCTGTTGGCTCTGTGATTGTTCCTGGAGAGGCCAAAGGCTGGTCTTTATTCAAGGCTGGATGAAAAGGCTGTTTGCTTTCCACCCTCCTCTTTCTAGTCCTTGTCCTCCAGGTCTATTCAGCAGGTTGGGCACAAAATCTGCCCTTGGGCGGCTGACTGCGTTTGCCAGGCCAGTGAGGCTGTCCTTCTTCAGGACACTCTCCAGCTGGCCTGCCTGTCTGTCTGTGCCTCAGATTTAGCTTGTCAACTCCATTGTCATGAAGGAGTCCCATGGCACTGAAGGAGTCCCATGGCACTGACAATGGGATCAAGTGATATTATACAGAAATCGATTACAGATGACTTCATCCCAGAAACAGCAGGTTGCCTTTTAGGATTCTATATGCCTGGGTCTTCAGCTCCTCTGATACATTCCTTCCAGAGAGAGCAGCTTTCAGCAGCACTACCTCTATGAACAAGGCCAAATGCTACTCTGATGGAGTATCATAGTTACTAAGACTGTGGGTTCTGGGGAAAATTCTCCAGGATTCATTCCAACCCCAACCCCAAGAATTTACAGCTGTGGGAATTGCAGTTACTTCCTGAGCCTGGTTTTATCTATAAACTAGGAACAATGACAGTACCCACCTAGGGATTGTTGTGAAGGTAAACATATGTAAAACACCTAGAATAGTGTTTTGCTTAAGAAAGAACTTAATATGTATTAATATGGAAATATGTATATGGCACAGTATTATAATGGTGCAAAAGATGAACTAGTGTGGAGATAGATGGATGATGGATGTATGGTTGGAAGGATGGATGGAAGAAAGAAGGAGACAGATGGTTGGGTGGATGGATCGCTTTGCATATGTTAGGCATTTGATGCAGTGAAAACAATTTTCACTGTAAATGTAATTTTCTTTAAATGTAATCTGGGCCTATTATTGACCCAAATCTCCAAAGGTTGAGCAAGGATAGCTATTTTGGTTGGCCTCCAGAGCAGCTGTATTAGATAACCAAGTCCTTTGAAAGTGAAGTCCTTTGGGATTCTTATATTGTGAATCATAAAAAATACTTCAGTTTGAGCTCGTTGAAAGTGATAGTGTTTACGCGATCACAAGTGGTCTATTTCTTTCTGGGTACAGGTATTCATGGTGCATGAACATCCCTTGAACTTCTTTAGCACAAAAACTTGCTCCAGAGATTGTTTCTATGCCTGTGATGTCGTAATAAGGAGTAAGCTAATTTTGGTGAAATATATCATTGAGCATAGGGTTTGGTTATAAAACAAACTTTCGGTCAATATTTCAGGGCATTCCTTGATAACCCCCTGAATTCTGTCACCATCATGAGAACATCCTCTTCACTCATGTCTCCTCATGCCATAAGACCATGTAAATGCCACCATATTACAGGTTCTGGAAAGCAGGGAGTGGACATCTTCGGCATCCTTATTCTCTACTTTCTTAGGCTTATTCCT